AGTTAGATTTGAAGCTAAATCTTGACGTCCAGAAGGTTGTTCAAAATTTTCAGCTTAAAAAACAAAATGCAATATTAACAATTAGATGATGGTATAAAGTAAAAAGTCAATATAAAAAAAACCTTCAACATATCTGTCATCATTGTTGGGTCAGCCATGGGGTTTTGCATTTGTGACGGTCGTCGCATGCCCTAAAAAAATCAAAGTGAATTTCTACTGACAGCATTAATGGAAATACAAATTGATTTGAAATGTATCGCAAATTAAAACTTAACCAATAGTTTACATTCTAAGTCTTCACAAATTTTATTTTTCGACTTTATTTTGCTTAATAAATTTCCTAATAATTGGTTCCAGTACAACTTTTGTTTTCAACCAAATCTTTATTAATATTTTTTATTAATGTCGACGTTCTTTGCTATGTTCCTACACTTTTTTACAACATAATGTAATAACTACCATGAATCTTAATTGCATTTCCAATAATACCAAATTGTAATCTGAGTATCACATATTAACATTAAAAAGTAGTAATATTATTGTTCATGAATAAATGAATTCAAAGAAAAAAGAAAAAAACCTAACCTTTGTTATGTAACCATTTTCTTCATTTAGCAAAAAGTTCTTTCGCATATTAAACGATGCTTTTGGCAAGAACCGCCCATTTTCTCGCAATAATCGGGAACGTATCAAATACTGGCTAAAAATTGTGGATGAGAAGTAAGGAAGTACTAAATAAGAAAGATTTAATAAACAGAAGTGATGACCAATAAATCTGGAACTGATAAATATAGCATGTAAATACATAACAGTAGTGCTGTAGAATTACACCATAAATTTCATTTCACAAAATTTCATTCATTTCACGCTATTTGATTTAAAAAATGAAAGAATTCGGAACTAACAAAATGCTACTATTAAACAAAAATGAATAACCTATCAAAAAGCTTATTACCACTTGATATTTACTTAAATATTCGAAAAGTTACCTATCTCGCACTTGCTGCAATTCCAACTTCTTCCTGTTCGTGAATATCAAAGCTACATAATGCCGTAATACTCCGACCAGAAATGTAATAAGAATAACCGGCAAAAAAACCCATGTCCGGATGGCCGGATCGAGGAGCAATTCTGTCATACCGTCAAAGATAATTTACAATTAAATGCACATCAACTGTAACAACTGCCAATCTAAATATTAAAAAAGGAAAAAAGACGAAAGCAATTCAACAACCATTTGCGAAATTTGGTAATACTACTGAAAGATAAAATTCAAACAATCTACAATATCATACCTTTCACGTAAGCCTTAAAAAAAAAAAGTATAATTCCACATATAAGTTTTACATACATATAATATTATGTGGCTTAATTGTTTGGTCACTAACATTACCTCAGTTACTCTTGGTGCTTAGTAGTAGACTTTTAATAAGTATTAGTGAAGGTTTTTAAATACTGAGCTGTAACAAATCATATCTTTTTTAGCACTTAAATGAAATGACAAATAGCTCCAAATAATTAGGCGGAAACCATTCGTTAAAAAAAAAAAGCAAAAGCAAAGAGAAACTTTTTATAAAAATTTCATTCAGCGAAACAGAAAAATGACAATTATTCACAAATTAAAATCAAAAAAAGACTGCGGAAGAATTCTATGCAAATTTTCTAGCATTACCCGCTCCGAACAATTTTCCTCAGCATTAGTAGCACTTCTGAAAATTAAAAATTAATAACTTCAAAATTAGACAAAATTTACATCCAATCCTTTAACATTTAAACAATATGAAATATACTGAGACGCTAAAATCAGCGACTTTTTTATAATGAAACAGTTGCACTAATCGAAATGAATAAAAATTCTAAACAGGAAGGAAAACATTTTGATTCAATTCATAAACTTAAATGAAACCTGACTGAAATTCTACTCATAGGTGCATGAAAAACCATGACGGATCTAGAGAATTATAACCAGTCTATTAAAATATGAGGAAAGGCTTAATAATCTTAACTTGCAGTATTTTTTGAATAAATTCCGATTACTCATACCATGACACGATTATGCCAATATTAAAAAGATTATTACGAGGATTCGGAAAAGCGCACCTGTATAATATTTCTTTTACAATTTCAGTCGCAATTCTTGACAAAATGTACACGGTGTCGTTAGGAAATGAATTGGTTGCATTTCGATGTCGTAAAAGAAGACAACGTCGAACTACTGATTCAGAGATTATCCTAGTCTTCATTATATAAGCACTACAAAGAAAAAAAAAATTTTAATTCAAGAATTTTTTGTTTTCAAATTCAAAATTAAGAGAAAAAATCCTCCTAAAACATTTTAATTATGTCTATAGATATTTCACAATCCAAAAATTTTGGATTTTTGCAGACATTTCAAAATCCAAAATAATAAGTTGATTTTTTTGAAAACAACAAAAATTACACTGCTAAAACAAACACTGAACATGCAATCATTTTTATTTGAATTGTGAACTACGCAACAGAAAAAACGACATCAATTAGAATGACAAAGTAGTACAGAACTGCCTTAATCCAGCCTTATTTAGTGCAAAAATTCCACATAATTTACTCGTTGATGTGATATCAGTGAATCGGATCAAACTAATGTTCGGCGATCACTTAAAAGTCTCTTAATCTAACATTTTGGCTGCGTTAAACAGTAACAATAATTATTTCAGATACTCGTATATCATCAAATTATGAATTCCTAAAGTGTTAGTATGCACAATCAAAGTTGAGATCACCGGTTCTCCAAGAAATAAAAGTTTGAGTGACAACATCGTAAACCACGAACTACAGCTTTAAAATAATCACTAATGTTAAGCCCTGTTCTTGTAGCAAATAATATGAGAAGCAAGAGATCACAGTATCAATCTTTAATCCTAAAATTCCTAGGAACATCGCCAGGTAACAGAAATTATTGCACCATGTTTTACCAACACCAATCCAAGACAGACGCTTCGAAGAAAAATTGATTACATTGATTGAGATCTGAGGAATGCATTACAAAGGTTTTCATTCAAAAACATCAATGAAGGATTTGCCTGTTCTAATTAAGTTTTTGGATGGCAATATAAAAGGCACAACAATAACAAACCACAAATTTAGTGAAAATTTAGTAAGCCGAAAATGCATACCTTTTTAGAAATTATAAATTTTCAAGCTGCTTTACAGAAGAAAGTATTAGGTGTATTCTAGCACGTACTGCATGCGATTCTCGTTCGTAGAAAGCAGCACGTTCACTTAATAACTCAATTTTTTTCGTGATAAAAATCTGCAACAGAATAGTTGTGTATTAGTTGCTGTATTGATGATTTAAAAAAAGGAAGTGAAATTTAACAGCAAAATTTCATATCCTAATTTGAAGGCTAAAAAGAGAAAACAACAAACGGAAACATAAATGAAATTATACCACAAAATCGTTAACCAGAAATTGTTTAACCAAAATGACTAACTTCTGCTCGTTCCAAAGTTAATTCGGCGTAAATATCATCGAATAGTTTTACAATTACATGATCCCATTTATCACTGCAACAATAAAAAATATTGTAAAGGTAATTAAACTGAACGTTTCAATAAATTGGAAAAAAAGAGAAAAAAAAAACAGCAAGACATTCCTATAATATTTCCCGATATCAACCATTATTCATCAATTTCTAATCAGTCAAACTGTTATAAAACTGTGATTTAGAACCAAAAAACATCCTTAATTTTGAATGACTGAAAAACAATTCATTAATAATATTATCAATAACAGTATTTTTTTGTATTAAAAAGATAGTAGAATGTCTTTAAAAATATCAAAAGTCATCATCAGAAACTAACATCACAGCCTCACAAAAGATATCTTTACCAATATTTGTCTGTGTTTTCAATGGTTCTTCAGAATCCAGTACCTAAAAGCTTGTTAAGATGCAGAGGAAAATAATAAAAAGTACACAATAATTTAAAATATGAAATTAAAAAATCCTTCAAAGACTTGACTTTTGAAGAAAATCACTGAAAACTTATTCATACCACTGAAACTTAATTAGCAGATAGAAATGGATGTTTTCGAGGGCAGTAATAAGGCTCACTCCATGAATGCAACATATCTGTACAAACATTAATTTGGCTACTGGTCAATCCAAATGAAAAGACGAGTCTACTAACTATTGAGAAGAAAAAAAAAATAAAATTATTACAATCTTGAGTAGTTTTAATTTCGTTTTTTCTTTTGAACTTACCTTAATCTTATTAATGAAAAGTAGTAAAGTCTCATACTCCTTCACTTCATCCACAATGCAATTTACGGCTTTGATTATTTCTTCATAATCTGATTGTAACCTTTCCACAGCAAATTTACGGTACTTTTCACATAATTCATTTTTTTCACTCATTTCAATCCTGTAATAGCACTCATTAATGATGGTTCTATATTTTTACGATTTACTCGAAGAATCTACAACATATGTATGATTAATAGAAAAACACTTACGTTAATTCACGTACTCTTGTTTTTATAACTGATTCATTATACTGGTATATAAGATTTCTCTTAGTAAAGAATTCGTAAAACCTTCGAATAAGTTAGTCTACTTCGAATATTTTTACGGTTTACTCGAAGAAATTCTTACTTACCTGTTCAAAGTAAACAGGTAAATAAAAATTTAAATACAGGATAGTGACGCAGCACAACCCACCATCACAAAGTCACCGTCAAACCACGTTTAATCTGACGGTCCTTCTAGGTTTATATTCGAGTTGCCGCCGTGTTCTTATGTAAGAAGCGTGGCTTATTTTTTGATTTCCTTTTTACTCTGTAAAGTATTCTTTAGTTTTCTCATGAAAATAATTATCATAGCAGAATCTTGCCTCGTCCTACACATATTCAACACGCAAATAACGCAAATCTATTATGATTTATTTATCCATATATTTTTTTCTTTAAGGTAGACGATTAATAATAATTACAATTATTATTATCTCATTTCTTTTCAGGTATGGCAGATTTAGAAGCAAAATTATTGGATTGTGATACAGCTGGTTATTGTAGTAGTAGTAGTAGTGATAATGATGATGATATAAAAATTGATAAGCGGAATAACGTCTTGCAAAGACCTGAAATGGGAACAAAGCAGATAGTGTCAAGAAATTATCGCAATACAGGACCAAAAGGTGTATTAGATGATTATAAAATTTGTAAAGCAAAACTTGAAGAGAAAGAATTAAAAAAATATAAACAGGTAAAAATTCTTCCTTTTTTTATTTCTGTATCAATTAAATATTTAGCTATTCGATACAATTTTTAGTGAATGAATAATCAGTATTTATTAAAATACTTAATATTCTATGCAGTGATTTATTTTCAAATTGTTATGTATTTTTTTCATACTAAATAGTACGTAGTGCATTTATTATAATTAACTATTACGTGCATTTATTATAATTAACTATTACATTTCATTCAAATTAGAAATTATATAGAGCAAATAGCACAAATAACTAATCTCAGACAAATAAAATAAATCATAGGCTAATTTTTTCCATTACATTTTATCTTTGGGCTATTGTTTTCAAGTTTACTACTAATTGAGCGAAATAAATTGCTATTTTTTTGTCGTTGATATAATAAGTTCAATAAGTTCAAGATAATTACTATCAAGTAGTAATTATCTTGGAAATAAATTGATCGACGGAAAAAGAAATTAACAATAATATATTTATTTAAATGATAGAAATATTATTAGAGTGGCGAAAGAATAATTTTTATAAATAAATTGAATATATTAATTTTCGTTATGTCTAATAAATAAAATAAGTATTTTATCAGTTATTTCATAAATTTTCATAAACGAAAGCTTGTGTTATATGCCGACACTATTTTCTTATTATGGCATCTTTTAGATTGTTGCTCAAGCCAAAATATGTACTTTATCAGGAGAGTTGCAAAATGATAATTTGGAAGAAATTCGAAGAAGACGATTATTAGAAATGAAAGATTCTTTATATGCCATGAGAAAAGTAAACTTTTCTTCTATCCTAATTTCCTTATTCAAATTAAGTATTTCATGAAATATACATAGCTTCTAGTTAGTTAAGAGCTAATTTGTTCATCACAGCTTCCACAATGGCATGATTGGAATATGTAAGTCACTCGTTAGTTGTCATTTCATTTCTATTTGAAAAAAAGATTAAATGATGGAAAAAAATAGTTTTCTTTTTTTTGCTTGCAGATAGATGAATTAACAGAAAAGGAGCAGTTCCTATGTTATATCGAATCAAATCGGGATAAATGGGTTCTTATTCACATTTACGACGATGATAATGAGGCTTGTATAACCTTGAATAAAGTCTTCAATACGCTCGCTATTCGATATCCTCATTTGAGACTAGCAAAAGTGTTACCATTGACGATTGGAATGTCGCAGCAGTTCGTATGTTTAGCATGATTTATTGTAATTTCTCGTTTCTCCCAAATATTTCATAACTCTACATTTGTAACTTAAATTCTTAATTCGAAATCTTTAATTCATCAACATTCATTAGTTCTTTTCTTTTTAATTAAGAAGATGAATGCCCTTCCAACATTGCAAGTTTATCGGAATGAGTCCCTGTTGGGCAACTTTGTCCGTATAACGGATCAGCTTGGAGAGAAATTCACGGTGGATCAATTAATTCGTTTTCTAAGCGAGTTAGTTTTTTTCTTTCGATAATAGTGATATATGACGTCAAATTATATAATATCAGATTTCATTTCTGTTTAATGCACTTGATCTACTTTTCTTAACTAATGCAAGTTGAATAATCATCGAAATAATGCATACGTGTCAGCTGATTGTCATTTAATTTATTAATATTCATTTTTGAAGGAATGAAATAGAGCTAGGAATATCCGAATATCGAATAAGTAATCATGGTGATGACGATATAACCGGTTTTGATGATTAGTGGAAATGCTGTTATAGTTTGAGTTGTGGTTCGATCTTGTATTTCATGCACTTTTTTCTCTTATTCTTCTTTTTGTCTACATTTTCAACGCTGTTTTATAGTATGATTTTATGGTATATGGCTGTATATTTTCGATAAAATTAATCATATTGAGAGAGTGGATTTTTAGCCAAGCATATTCAATAGCTTTATGATGCTTGCAATTTATAGATAGATGTAAGAGCATATTAAATGACTGATCCATTTGATTTTTTGTTGAGGCTTTGATCATTTTTTTTTATACATGCTTTCATGTATTCATTTATTTGAATACATGTTAATAATTCATTCAATTTTAGGTCATTCATTTTTGATATTTGTATTTGTGTATTTTAAATGAATAATGCTGTCTAATGTATTGCTGTTTCTATCATACTAATTACGACAAAGCATAGCATCCATATGGTTAATTATATGTCTCAACTTGGAACTACTGAAAACATTGTTTGAGTTGTTACGTGAACTAATAAGGGAACTGCAGAGTTTTCTTTTTTTTTTTTTGATTTTTTGATTTTTTTTAGTAATATAATGATTAAGAAGGTACACAACAAATGGGTAGAAAAAAAAGGAAACTGAAGGAATGGTAGAGGTTTTTTCGTTATAATCATTGTCAAGATGTTTTTGCTTATGTCGAGTTAATATTATAAAATTAGTGGATTATGTTATCACATTTCAACTAAATTTTAAATAAGTGATAACCAGAAGATAATCAGAATACTGGAAAATTATCGGTTAATTGTCGGTCAGGAGTTTTGATAAGGTTTGAAAAAAGGGATGTAGTCTTGGGAAGTTTGAAAAGGAAATTTCAATTATCCGGTAAAGATGCTACGAGTGAGGCAGGATTTTCAGGTCGATTTTCAAAACGAATTCGAAGATTTTCGGTTTCATTGGTAAAAAAATGGTAAAAAGGTTGTGAAATATTTAATATGCAAAATGGATGAGGATCGTTATTTATACTCTCCGCTGGGTATTATGTTTGTTACTATGGGTGAAAATCATGAACAAGTCTCGTTTGCTTATCCGTTTCAAAATGCTTCAACTGTTACGTCCGGTGTGCTGTTTATTTATATCATAAATTCAGATAACAATTAGTTTACAACTAAATTTTCTGATCTGATTATCTATGTTTTTTATAATTTATCATTCAAACATTAAATTTCTTTATAACTATTAAGAAGTTGGAAATTTCAGAAATAAATGATACTTTAAAACAATAAAATTAAGGGAGAGGAAGTTGCACAAATTTATATCCTTTTTTTTAGAGTTGCAATCTTTTTCATCCTCTGAACCGTATCCAACTATTTGTGCGTAAGTTCAATTATCTTCCAAATTTTAGCGATCAAATTCTGGTCATATATAAAAATATAAAAATATCGAATAATCTTTTCGGGTAGTATCTAAATTGGATAAGTTTTATATAGAAATTTTTAATGACTGTAATACTTATTAGTAACAGTAAAAATCTTTACTTCTTATTTTCTTACTTTTTTTTTTCAGAAGAACTATACTGTGCAGTATGATAAAGCTTTTGTGTTAAACATTTTTTTTTAATGATAACGTTAAATGAAATTCATACATTCATTTACAAATTTTTTGCATTTTCTAGACAATCGCTGAAAGGTAGTGAAGAGCGTAATAGCAGTGATGCAGAACAATATGGGTATATTTTGTTTTGTAAATTTATCTAAGTTAAATTTTTTTTAATAACTTCTTAAAATGCAAATGTTCTCATTATATTTTAAATTCATATGACTAGAATTGTTCGTTTAGCAAAAAATTAATGCTTTCTGTTCAGAGTACCAACAAAAATTCTTTCACATCTACTCTCTGCTAGGGGTATTTGTGAAAAACCATTCGAAATTAAAATTGATAATATACGATTTGCTGGTTTTCCTAAAACCGTAAGATTTTTTCATTCTTTCAGTGCTTTAATTTCTGTTTTAAATTTTAATTTCTGTTTTAAATTATAACGTGCTTTCTTAAATTTCTGTTTTAAATTATAACGTGCTTTCTTAAAATTATATTTCATATTATTATGGAATATACTACAACAGAATTTCAAATGGAATGTTTCGGATTTTAAAAATCAACAATTAAAATGATTAAGATTTGCTGATTTCAAAAAAGTTATATTTTTATAACAATTATTCTGTCAATCTTAAGGTCTCACATCCAACCGGTCGCTCACCGCAAACGTTTCATGTTGTTTTCATTTTAACTGCAAAAGTGACAGCTGATCTCGTTACTTCATTTCAGGAACTCAGGTGCTTTTCTTGTTATAAATTAAAATTCTAGACAGAAAATACTGGGAGCTTCTGATTAATTCAAAAAAAGTGTTTTTTATAAGTTGAGAACACTGATTATCATCTCTAAATTTTTCAGTCGTAAAATTGCCATTGCAATTGATGAAGAGCAAACACGTTGTGATTATTTGGCAGATCAGATGACAATAATATTAAATGAACATGAAAAAAACGAATCACTTCCAGAAGGTAATTAGATGTAATTTTGTATGCTGCTTAAATTTTGATGCATCATAAACCTTAGAATTTATGAAGACTAGAATATTTGTTTTAGCTTTTGGTTTGAATTTGAATTTTCTAGGTCAGGCATTTCCGTATCATGAGGTGCTAGCACATTGTTCACTGGCACAAGATCTTCGAGATATATTCAGTGATGTCAGTGAACATGGCGTAGTTCACGTTTTCCTAAATGATTGTATTGAGGTGGGCTTTTGCGTCGAACCGCGTGCGCTTTTGCATGCGGGATTGACGCCTAAGACGAGGTAAGTATGAATTTGCATACTGTTTCATTGATTTCATTATTATTGTTCATTATTATTATTATTGTTTGTATATGAAAATCTTCATATAAATTAATTATAGCTTTTGAAAATTCGAAAAAAAATTGCTTTTGTTATGCTTAAGGAGTGAAATAGAGGCGACTATCCGACGCCTACGGCCATATCATGGAATTTTGCTTCTGGAAGATGCTATACCAGGACATGATTCAAATCCGGCATTACATTTTTTCCTGAAACATTGTCATCCGGATCAAAGGTTTGCTTATGTAGGATTTTTTGATCATGTTCAAATACAAAAAAAAAAAAAAAAAACTACAAAATTAGAATTTTAATTACTTCGGTAGAATTCAAACATTCTTTTCTTTTTCAGTCTAATAAGCATCAGCGACTCATCCGGTCTTTCATTGTTCCAAGTTCTTACTGTCGTTAGACATTTGCTATTATGGGCACGCGCTATCGTCATATATCCACTGTGCAGTAGTAATGTTTACACTTCCGCAACCTCACCGAAACCGTTGTCAAGGTTAACTTTCAATTTCTGGAATTTTCTGTGATGGAAAATAAATTTTAATAGAACTCTACTATTCAGTTAGCAAAGAACAAACAGTTGCAGTTTTTAGAACTTCTGAAAAATCAAAATTAGCAAGAGGAAGTCAGAATTTTGAAAAATCAAAAACCCATCGAAAACTATTTGTAGTTTTTTCGGAAGAAGTCAAAATTTTTAAAAACAAAAGTTTAAAGAAAGACAGAAAAATTAAAATTTTCCAAATTTTGCAAAAAAAATTATGCAACTCTTGCTTATCCTAATAATTTAATTGTTCTTAAAATGTTGACTTCTTATATTTAGAGTGAACTACAGAAACTGGTAAACAATTCTTTCTTTTTTTTCCAAGGCTAAGTGAACAATTCAGTGAAATTTTCGAAAATGCTCATTTACCTACTATACTGGCGCAATTCTCTCCACCATGTACATTAGAGGAATTCACGAACGCTTCAATGTATAGTTTCAGTGAGCAGGTATATTTCATATTGATAGGATAATCAGTATAGAAATACTTAAAGCCTTTCTAAATAACTTCCTATGAATATCTCATCTCAAAATTTCACTCTTATCAAGAAGTTATTGCTGAAACTGAGCTCAGCTTTATATTGACCTTCATTTGACCCCACTAACCTTTTTTACTAACAATGGCAGTTGTATAATTATTTCCTACCCATTTGATATTCATGGTTAAATTTCAGGGAGTTTCTATCAAAATGAAAATAAATTTTTGGAAAAAAAAAATGGATTTTTTGAAAATAAGTTTTTGCATCGAGTGAAACATCGAATCAGTGAAAAAATTCCTGTTACAAATGAAATTTTACATGTAATTATGTGGAATAATCATAAAAGAAATTGTATGTAGAAGTTGAAGACAGTAGTTCCAATAACCTGTTAAAATTTCATTAATCTTAATAGTAATAATTAAATTTGAGTTGAAAATGAGTATTTTCGTGTAATAGTAATGATTAGATTAGGCTAAGGAAATTTTCAAATGAATATTTTATGATACAATTAAACAAACATATAAGTACACAATTAATCGTTCTCATTCATATCATTCTAGACAAAGACGCATTATTTTCAGCAACTTCGCATACGAATGGTTGCACGACTATTGCGAGATGAACTAATCATGCAACTTCATACATTTCTTTATTTGATGCCACCTTTTTCACATGAAATTATCGATGAGTCCGTTTTTCTTTTTTTTTTTTTTTCGGAGAAAAAGGCAAAAATGCTATTGAAAAATGACTTCTTGTAATTTTTTTTTAAGATCTACTATGGATATAGATCAAGATGATCACTTGAACCGTTTATTGTCAAGTGTAATGTTGACAACCGAAGTTAAAGCTTCAGTGATTCAAGTATATAAAACAATGCTTAAGCGACATCCACAGCAGTATGCTGAAGACTTGCTTGATCTGTTTTTAAAGTAAGGTTTCATTATTTTAAAAACCCCTCAGAAAAAAGTGAGCATCTGGAAAAGAAGGACTGGTACTTTTCAGACTGGTACCTTACTTACGTGGTGAACATCATGTCGAAGATATAATGTATAGAATGAATTTGGAACGATCATCTATAATGCGTGTTTTGGATACATTTGCTTGCGTAATTGCACCATTTATGAGACCAGAATATGTTTAAATAGTATTTGTATGAAGTACATAATTCATTGTTATCACTCTTGTTAAAAAAATTTTTTTTTCCAAACCAGTTATTTGGTTATTGAAAACAGCTTAGATACTCTTTTTTCAAAGTAACGATTGCATTTATCAATTTTTAAGTCGCTTCTACTTTTTGCTTGGAATAAACATTTAATTTTCCAACAGCAAGAAACTATATATGTGGCGTAACAATATATAAATTGTTCCATTTTTTTTTTTTTTTTGCATTTTGTTTGTCATTGTCTCCCATAAATTTTGATTTATTTAAAATTGACTTATATTGTGCCTTCTGCTCATCGTAATTTTTCTGTTCAAGAAATACATATATATGGATTAGCAATATGAAAATTTGTTTCATTCTTTTTGCATTTTTGCATGCAAGAGAATTCTCTAGTGTTTACAAGAGTTCATCCGGATTAAGCTTCAAATATCTTCAAGTACATTATAATCAGTGTATTATTAATGGTAAGAAACAAACGCATTTTATGAAATATTAATTTTGCTTCTATTTCTAACTTTTTTCGAAAAATTTGCATACATTTACTGCAATTCTTGCAAAGACTTCTTCCAAAGAAGTGACCTTTTTCGGAATAAGATGGAATGAAGTACTCCATCAAGGATTCGTTTTCATGCTTTGTTCTGAACTGCAATGCTTTGGCTACGGTTAAATGCCTAATAGATTTTATGTGCATTATTTAAAAAACTTGAAAAATCAAAATAGCATTTCACTATTAATTTCAAGAAGAGACAAGATCTTTAAAACTCAGCAACTTCTCTCGTTCCTTTCCACGTGCGACGCCTAATCTCTTTTCTTCCTCATCAATTTTCTTCCAATCATTCCACGTCAAAAACTCTACATTCCGTGATAGTAACCGTTGATACGAACCCGTAATTTGTGCTTCTTTCAAACCATACTTTTGCAAATCGAAACTAAGTCGTTCAGCTACATTGCTGGCATTCATCTAAATAAAAACAATGATTAATCAAGTGCACTCTATTTATAAAAGCGAAAAAATGCAACAAATAGTATATACGTATGCATTCAACTTTTGCGTCACATTATTTCTAAGCCAATATTACTTATGTTATTTCATACAAAAATCATTCAGATCAAACTTGTGTATGCGCAATAATTCCTCGAGGCGTATGTGCGCACCAACCCGAGGCATAGACTAAGATTTCTTCTTCCGTTGCTACACGAATGGCATCAAGCATTTTAATTTCACCATCTTTATTCACTGGTAACCCATCTAGAGCAACATTTTCGAATCCAATACAGTAGAGTAGAAGACCGCATGGAAGATCTTCTTTATGACCGGTCAATGAGTGAGTTACCTGTAGTGCTTTGACCATTCCACGACTGTCCGTCAAAACCTATGATAGATATCTTTGTTCTCCATCGGAAAAAGTAATAAGAAAAATGAATAAAAAAACATTCATTATAAAAGTCCCTGGAGAATATTATTGCAACCAAGTGGTCAACAAAGAAAATCGAAATTTAAGCAAAATTAAAACAAAGATAACCTATGTCATTAAGGCAGAGAATAAAATCTAGAACAAATACGATAATTTTGAAAAAAAAAAAGTATGAAAATCTTTGGAAAACTACCACAGCTGTAAATTTTAGATTCAAAATAAACCTTTGTTGGTGTTCTACGAAACAGCAATTGGCAATGACGATCGGACATCGGTTTATCCAAATGACTATTATTTAAAATCAGCTCAGAAATACGCTTCTTTGGTCTTGACAATGTACCTTGTGCTTCTTTTACAGCAAGCAGGTCAAAATTTTCAATTTCTACAGAAAATGAGCAATTCGATAGTGTAATTTGTTCCCGTAACTCTTTTATGGTGAATGAAACCTGAAAAAAAAAAACCATTTCAAATCCGAAACCAGTGCTTGGAAAATAACGTTTAGCGAAAACTTAAAATTTCTTTGAACAAATAATCTGAATAAATTTCATCACTATAGTGAGACTTAATTCAAGACCTTAAAAACAAACTAACATCAAGTAGACCTCTTCGACCAACAATGGTTACATGACGTATTTCAGAACGCGAAAGAGTTTGTAATATTGGTGCTGGGATATCGGTCTTCAGCAACCGATCCGTTCCGGCTGAAAGTATCACACGTGAACAATCTAACGCTACGTTACCGTTACCAATGATAACCTGAAATAATTTTAAATTGAGTCTTCAATGAAACGAAAACATGTTAAAAGCAAGAAGAGTGAGAGAAATGAAAAAATTGACTAATTTTTGATTCAATTTCTTCATAACGTTTAAATGTTACTCAAACTGTCACCGCTTCTCTGCAGTTCAAGAGCGGCGCTTTGGTACCAGACATCCCATTATACCAAAATACAAAGTCGCCACCCGAAAAAACATTTGTCGCATCGATTCCGGGGATTTTTAATCGTCTTTGACGTCGTGCACCGTATGCTAGTACCACAGCGTCATAATCCGAACAAAGTTCGTCAAATTTGATATCTCGACCAATGTAAACGTTGCAAAATAATTTCAGTCTGCAAAAATACACTTAGGTAAAAATTTCCAGCTTTTGTAAGAAATTTTCAAATTCAGTGAAAAAAGATTTAGGAAGAAGAAATATTTGAATGAAGAATGTACAGCTTAATTTCTTATAGATGTGAATGAACGTAAAATATCATAGGAGATAACATAAAACATTGTATAGATATCATAGAAACATATGATTTGTGATTGACAAACTGTAAAACTCTCAAAATAACAACTGATAGTACATAAATTCAAGGAAAATAAGTGGAATAAAAGCTTGTAAGCATCCTGAATAATTAAATATTTATCAAATATGCTAACCAAATATTAGCATGAAGATGAATAGTAATCGAACTTTGAATCTTTTTACACTTCATAATTTTAAATAGTTGAAAAAAAAATTCAAAATCTATATGATTAGGTAGTTTATTTAAAGAAAGATTCATTAACAAAATGAGTGGAAGTAAACCGAAACATTTCAATTTCAAAATACGGATGACTCAGGTTAAATTAGATAAAACTTAAATGCTATGTAAAGCTAACTACATACTAGACAAATATTTGGTATTAATTGCATAGGAAAAAAGAACAGTCAAAGTTTGAGTTCATGTATCCGCAGCTTTCCTCACCTATCTTGATTCTCGACAAACAGTCTGTCAAAATGTGCTAAGCAGTTTTTCATTTCAGGATGATCTGGCGCTATTCCATATCGAGCTAAACCATATGGCACCATATTGCTTTCATAAACATCAATATAACATTGCGGTAATCGGCGAAGTACTCCTGCGCAAACGTAGAGGCCTAAAATTTCAAAAATAAAAGAACTTACTATACTTGCACAAGACATTTCAATTCTATTTTTTTTTTTCTTTTTTCCTTTATTTTTTACTATCTACCGAATTAAATATCAAAAACATTGAATAATTGCTGAATACAGATGCTTTAAATTACACTGATTAAAAGAGATAAAAGAGATTATATTACTCTTCCATTATCCTATAACTATTATTTGCCCATTTGTTGTCAAATATAAAAGAGACAAATATTGACTTTCACACTCATTTCATTTAATAATTACATATTCAGCTTCATATAGGATGAAATTTTTGTTTGTCAACTAGCAATAACTGTTAGGATAGTAAAAGTTTGATGAAAACGTAAAATTACCAGCCGGTCCGGCTCCAACAACAGCAATACGTGGAGACCGTGAAGACGTGGCCAGATTACGTCTAATCCATGACACAGTTACTGAGGTACACAGCTTAAGGATAGTAGCTTCTCTAAACATTTTACCATGCACTATCAACATCCATCAGATGACTAAAACCAATTCATCAGTACTGACACTAAAAAAAAGAATTTTACATCATTTACATCATTAAGTACCAAATTCATACACCAACTAAATTCCACATCTAGAAAATAGATGACAAAATCAAGTAGTCGGAAAGTTTAAGAATCCTCAAATCTACATATTTCATGTCTCCATCGAATTTATGACTCATACAAATTGAACATTTGTGTTACGAGAAAAAAAATGGCATATAACGATGCCATCAAATCCACGCTACATGACACCGAAGTACCAAATTCAGCGCTTTTACTAATAGTCCTGGAACTTCAAGAATTCTCAAATCATCGTATATTCAGAAGTGCGAAATTGTCTTTTCGAATAATAAGAAATGCTGCGCAAAACACCCACACGATTTAATTTACGTTTTATTGATAACGAAAATTGAAAGTAAAATTTATTCGAAACCATTTGAAAGATCAATGAAGAAGAAAAAAGCATACTATAAGCTTTAGAATAAGGGTAAAAAAATATTAAGAAAATATGAGAGTTTTAACAAACATAAAAAGTCAATTCAAACATTATAATAAATTTAGAATAACAATAAGCAAGGAATTGTTTACATTATTCGTCGAGATATTCGTACATGTACGGCTGAAATAAAGCGATTTCGTGTTTTAAAATCCACTTCGTCGTATAGTGGGAATAAATTGTCTGTGACCTAAAATAAAAAATGACCTGAAATATCTTGCTTAACTTAATAATCGACGATAAAATAAGTCAGTAAACTGCTTAATGAAATCCCACATCAATAGCCTACAAAATCAGTTGATGACCTCTTCCAAACGACAACGCAAAAATACATTCAACAAAGTTGAAGTCCTTTAATCGACCTTTCTGGTTTCAAAACAAGAAAGCCTCAATCCCCATATTATTAAGCTTACAACTTCTACTTTTGATTTCAAATCATATTTAGTAAAGTGATCACTTTATTTATTTTCTGAAAGTTAGCTGGAATTATAAGCTTGGACTACAATTTCTCACAAAACTCTAACCATCAAATTAAAAAATCCCGAAACCTTAGATTGGAGCATCCTACTATGACAGGAAATATTCATTATATACTCTTTCTCACAGCATACTATTCATGTGAACTATATCTTACCTTAACAGTACCAGTTCTGACATCTAATTTCACCGTATCGACTAACTTTCGCTGGATTTGTAATGCAACATTTATCGTCCGGCTAACTGCTGCCCCTAAGCCGTGTAGTACAACTTCATCCATCTTCTCGTCCAGAAGTTTAATTATCCGAGCTTTTTGTGCTGCGATACTTGTATGCCTGTAAGTAATAGAAGAACCTCTCCTAAGGTAGTTTATTATATTTCTATTTGTAAATAAAATATTTTAGGAAATATAATATGAAACCATCCACCAACGCTTTGCCTTGTTAAAACACAAGCTCTCTATGAGCTAGAATCAAAAAATTATGCTAATAATAGTTCAACATACAATTCATGAAAGACAGTCATGATGCATCATCAAAATGCATATCTCAAATAATCAATGAATCCATAAATACATAAAGAAAAAAGAATTAAATAAAAAAGAAAGGAAAAGAGAAGTTAACCGACCTTGTTATATAAATGTTATTTTTTTCTTTTGGAAATTGTGGTGGAAGATTCTTCCGCAGTTCGTATTCTACCTGAAAGGTAAAGTATGAAAATACAGTAATGTATAATAAATATAAGAAAAAAATACACGAATATGTAATAAAAAAGAGATATAGAATATATAAGAAAATCTCACTCTTACGCTATAATTTTTTTTTGACTAGTCATTTCACAAGCAGATGACAAATGCAGGAGGCCAAACTACTTAATGTCATTTTTTTATCTTTTTATTCTAGTACACGGAAAGTAAGAAAGATGATACCAATAATGAGGAACAGTAACAGCTTTTTTTCAATATATGGAAAAAGTTTTATATATACATATTTCGAATAGATAAACTTAAGTTATGGCAGTTGTTTGGTGAACATGTAAGAAGGTATTTCTAGTTATAGCATTGCCTGTACACCAAAAAAGGATAAGTCAGTGAATCGCTCCAGATGATTCATTTTTTCGACAGTTTAGTACACTTATAATTAAATGAAAAAAATATTTTACATTACAAAAAAAAAAAAAACTGAATATCCGTAATTCAATACAAAGTATCAGGAAAATCAGGAACAAAGTTTATTGAAGAGCTAAAAAGTAACAAATCCATCACACCTCATCAATATGTGTCATCGCTGCACATCGACAAGGTGATTAAAAGAAAAGAATAACGAATGCCATCGAGAAGCAAGCGAGGGCAATCCACGGACTTAAACGCTCTCCGATTCGAGCACACTTCCAAAAGACACCCAGAAAACTGAAAAAAAGAAATTTATTTCAACTTAGTTTAATTTCAATGTATTCATCTGTATCAACATCATCCATAAATTTCAAGAAAGATGCAGTTCTAAGATTCAACGCATAAATAAAATTAAACATTTCTACTACTGTTCATTATTTGTAGTATATAGTGACGTGCCTCAGTTTGCTAACAATACTTGACACTGTCACCATATTTTACACAGGAAATTCCGCATATATTAAAGCTATCCTTCAAAATGAATTGAACTTAATAGCAACGAAATACAGCATTTTAAAATCATTTTGATTTTAATTTTTTAACCAATCTATCATTGCTTTGGTTGTATCTATGACAGTTAACTGAATAAGGAAAAAATCCATGCACGAGTTGTTTTAGAAAAACCAATTTCAAACACAACTATAAAAAAAAGAGAAATGAACAAAACTAACCCTTCTTTATTACGATCAATCAGCTTCGGTACAAAAGCACGTACATAAGTACAAGTGCAAATTAACAACAAAATTACGCAGATCAGACTTTGGAAATTGAATAGGGCCGACTAAAATTCAACAAAGTTATTTAAAATAAATGTGAATAATTTAAATGGCAATTAATTTGTCAAAATTGAATTGAATTTTTGTCATTTTAACAAAAAGGTAAGGAATATAGTAGTTACGTTATGCATCAGGTCTAAGATGAAAAATAAATAACTAGACTATTGAGCACAATTTTAAGACGAAATAAGATATAGACATCTTTGAATATTAATGACAATATAAAGTCAAGCAACTTTGGCTGGGTTACGACAATTAGATGAAAAGAAATACTTTGCCCAAATCCAGTCCTACAAAATATTGATCAAAATAATTTCATGAAAAAAACATACCAGCTTGAGAAGATTTGCTTTATGATTGCCCTGAAATGAAAAGAAAAAAAAAATATTGATTTTCACTTTATTAATATGAATTCATGCAATTTTATATGAGTCATATAGTAATATTTGGCATACGTCTGATGCTATGTACAACCATTAAACTCGATGTCACGTTCAAACATTTCAGGTTAACTTTATAATTCACTAACATAGAAATCATTTGAAATATATTACTAGAAATTACTGTTTTCTCAATTCTACACATTCTACCTCAAAAATTTTAAGACAATATGCAAAAATAGTTACAAATATTTTGAGTTAGTGAAGAGATAAAGACTACGTGCACCTCCACATACAACCCAATAAAGCTCCATTCCACGTGTACATCACGCAAACCCAAACGGGAAGCACGCGATGAAAATGAATTCCCAATGCAGTTTTTGACGCATCTTTAGATTCGAATCGTTTTAAGCTAACGAATCGTTTTTGGCGTGTAAAATTTGTTGAATGAGATGATACTTCTCTTACACATATTTACGTAGTACTTTTACATGTACTTTAAATATATGTTAAACCATAACTATGAATATTTATTTGAATGCATGCAAAAATTGGTAAATTCGTAGAGAAAATAATGTATTATGTCATAAAATGAAATATAATATAACAAATTGGAAGACATAAAAGGAAATATGTAAAGACTTCAATGTTTATAAATAGATATTAAGTGAAAAAGCAAAAAATTATGAAAGGAAAATCTGAAAAAAAGCTGAGCATTGAAGGAAAACATCTGACTTTATTTTGTAAAAGATATTTATTGAATATACAACAATATACTCTTCATGAAGTTTAAAGAAGTTAGCGTTGGATTTCAGAAATGTCCTTTATATGTGAGTTAATTAGCGCATACTTAGAAAGAAAATATCAATAATAATGAAGCCAAGAGGACCAAATTTTGTCAATGACATTGGGAATATATTGGAACGAAAATTTCTACCAAAAAATTTCACTTCACTTAATGTTAATACTAGTAAAACTTCACTTAATTATTTGACCTGATAGGAAGCCTTCATATCTCTCTGGAAATATTAGTAATTCTAATCAAATTTTGATGATAGGAATTGTTTTATCAACACTAATTATGTATGAGGAACATAATAAGCTTGATATTCAAAAGTAAACAAAAGTGAGGATGGAAGGAACACTATAAATCTTGTTCAAAATGCAGACATGTGTTGGATAAATGTTGAAAAAAGATAAAAAGAAAAAAATCCATAAGAAATTAATTACGTGATTTACACAAACAAGACAAATTTCAAGAATACACAGAATATAGAGAAAAAAATTATTTTTTAAAATCTGTCAAAATTACGAAAAACTACGACATCAAAGTGAATATTATTAAGGAAAAAAAGATATGCTAAACATACACCAAATGATGAAATGCACTAATATTAGAAAGGCAATTAAAAGAATTATGTCTGCAAAGGTCTAAATTTCAAAGTCTAATATTAAAGTTTGAAACATTAGTATTAAAATATTGTGATGAAACGAAATAAATCTTAAGGTAACAACACAAAAATTATTCATAACAACCCGTATCACCCGGTTAATATAAAACCCGCAGTTGCATTTCATTCGAAACACTGCTCGAAAAAATGTTCATCATCACCCCAATCTAGGTAAAACTCATCACGTACCAAATCAAATGTACCATCGGATGAAAACGTGAACAAATTATAGCTTCCATCGTCACAAATTGCAGCTATAGCCTACAAAGTTGGCATATTTCAAAGTTAAAAAATATCGAAATTAAGGCATCAATAACCAAACAGAACCGTTAGCACCAAATCCTTTAAGATTCCGATTTACGGCTATATTTTGAGCACAGTCCATCACTAGAAGCTAGAGATAACAAATGACCTGCTAAGCAAAAAATTGGATCAATTTATAAATTAAAACATCCTAGTGATGTTCAACTGAACAAAAAAACTTTCCATAACTTACATGGCTGCGCAAAACAAAACGATTTTTGGCATTCAGTTCAATACCATTCGATTCATTACTATTTTTTAAGAAAGCTAATTCAGTAAGTGTAACATTTTGAGTAGCTTTCGATAATTTGAATTGTATCCGCGCTCGATCAGCATCTTCTGATAAAAGACCAACTTGCTGCCATCTGTAAAAAAATTTTATCATTTTCACTTCTGAAATGTCCATGAAATTTTTTAAAAACTCTTTCGACATCAGTTCTATCAAAACTCCTTCGAAGTTAGCTTTTTCATCATAACCTAAAACTTACAGCTTGTTTTCTTTATATAACAATATAAAGTCCAACAATTTAGAAAACGTACAATGTTTTCTTGTTCGTCCACGTCGGATCATTATTTTTTACAGCGAAAATATGCACAGTATCTTTATCACTTGCAACCGCCAAAAAAGCAGAACAGGGTGAAAAACGTACGCTGAAAAGACCTTAAAAATTATGTACGACGAAGATCATTTCCTTCCTTGCATTTCACACTGAATAACTTCTACAAATCTTTAATTTTCACCTGCTTCCAGCTGTACAATCACATGCCATTTGATAGAAACACAATGTACGTTACACACGTTAAACTGACAAAGTTTCATTATACTGTGATGTACGTTTGTGGATATCAAATCACAGCAAAAATTTTTTGTGTTCATTTGACGAGTAGAACAAGAAGAGATTTCAACACCAAATAATTGGAATTTGCAAAGATATTTTTATGTCATAATTTACAACTAAAACCATTCAAATAAATAAAAGATCTAGCATTAGGAACTGCTTAGCAAAAAAGTGATATAATTCAAATAAAATAAGATCTATCGAACTGCTTTAATAAATAATCTATCATTAGGAACTAAACTCTTAACAAATAAATATCTTATATTTACTTTTTTCTTTCTTTTTTTTTTCAAATATAAAATTGATATACTAACCAATGTAAAGTAACAGGATCAGCGCCTCGCCTAAATTCACGCATTAATTCAGTAGTTTTCGTATCGAAAATTCGTATCACCGTTCCCTGAAATGTAGGGATGAAGTTCCGTACGACATAGAAAAGATTTTAACTGTACTGTAGAAATGATGAAGTTTTAACCAAAAAGTCACCGTCAGGATTAAGATCTAACTTTAATAAAAGCCTTAAAATCACGAATTAAATTGAAATCTCCTTTTCATCCATTCATTTTAATGAAGCAAATATGTCTTACTTTATTTGAACCAGTAGCCAAAAGTGTAGCCGTACTATTTAGTGCCAGCTGCGCCACATCAGACTGATGAGCATTGATTAATGTTGGTGTCAAAGTTGCGTGTCTCGCGACATCACGTAAATTGATATACTTCAAAAAAGATAAAAAATTGAAAAGAATATAAAAATTACAATTATGGAAAGGTAAGTTGATCCATAAGTTTCATTTGATCCGAACTACTGTCATTTATTATCACAAAAAAGAATAACTGACATCTTTTAACTATTTAATTTGGGATATTTTTTGTACTTTGAAATACAGCCATATATCCTCAAAATAAAATCCACAATTTCAATCACTGAATCGTTGCATTTAATAAATAGGTTAGAATGTTGATAGTTTGAAAGCATTCGTCAAAAAGTCAAAAAATATTGTCCTTGTTTATTAGTGTCTCCCTTACTTTAGGTGTTAAAACTATACTGTTTAGTCCTTCCACATTTAAAACGTCCAGGAAATTACAATCAAGGAAGAAAATTTGATAAACCTGGACACTGCCTATTTGATTTCCTGGATAAATGAGAAGCTCCATATTTGGATCATTGCTAAGTTCACATAACCCATGAATATTCGTCCCCGTTTCGATCGTCTTTATTAAATCTAGTTCTTGTGGAAAATTAAATACATGAATTTGTTTCATTCCTACTAGAACCATTCTGCAACAGTTGGATAAAAATATATAAACAACTAAAGCAGGATTACTTCTATTTTCAATTTTCTGTCCAAGAAAAAAACGATAAGAAATTGCACGGACGATGGACTAGGGGATTGGATACTCAAAAATACAAACGAAAACTAATAATCAGTGCAGAGAAAATATCGCTGACCTCGTTTTTGACATCTGGAAGTTCAAAATAGGTGAGGTACTGGTGTACTCCATGTAAAAGTCATCCTTCCTTCTTTCATCATTCCAAACCATTACTGTAGTAAAAGAATCATTTGTACAACGACTAATCGTTCAAAAAATATGCATAAAATATTTGATTAAAAAAGTTTTCAAATATATCAAATTTCAATAAAGTATCATTAAAAGAGTGTTCCAACTTTCATCACCTTACCGACATTTTCAGCATATTTCGGGCAGAATCCACCACTGACCATTCCAAAAAAATTTGAGCAACCAAGAACTTTGCCAATTCTTAAACTTCCAACGATGCGTTTATCTGTAAAAATAAGAATATTAAACAAAAGATTACGCTAAGCATTCCTGCCAGCTATTTTTGTTCCAGTTTTTCCGATTGTTTTATTCTTGTCGAAATGATTGAAGTCCCAGAAATCCACTGAAACCCTTTTTTCCTGAACAGAACCTGAATCAACGGAATAAATTAAATGGAATGCTATGGTGATTAACTTTTTCTAAAAATCCCTTTCAGAGCCTAATTTGTTCAATCGAATGCATTTCATTTCATGGTCGAATAATTTCGATAATTAATCAGAACCACAATTTATTCCTGCTCCCTTTATATTTATTATTAATAATTAGTATTATTTAATTAGTACAGTCTGAACATTTGTGCATTTTCATAATGAAAAAACTAACCTAACCGGATTAACTCGTGCAATGGACTGCATTGAAAGATACGAAATCCATCTTCTGTAGCTACGGCAAACATATTTTGCTCCGAATTTACAGAAATTCCATAGACCTTTTTCATTCTGAAAAAAGAAATTATTACCATTAACAATTTTAACTTTTGATTTGTGCTTACCATTGCCCATATCGTTAATGTAATTATTTACTAAATTACTTAGAGTCTTAACAGAAAAGTAATTGTAGTTTAAATCTAACTGACAAATTCCCACTTTTTTTTTCAGCTAACTGATAAGTTAATAAGATTAAATGATTCTTTCGGCTGGTTCTTTCGTGATTTTTTTTTTCGCACTGACTATTACTTAGTTTAATTTTATTATCTTCAAGGACATGATATCTTTCACATATTATCTAGTTTAGCATAGAAACGATAATGCAAAACATCAAATCTAACCTAAGAATTTCTCTTCATTGTTTCTTTACAACATAACATTCAATCTTTTAACAATACAAAATAGAATAAATTTATTAAATATTTTAACTGAAGAAAATGAATTAAAGTATTTTGAAGAATAGAAAGATAGATGATACATATGATAAAGAAACGATTTTTATTAATGAAGCAATCAAATCTTAACAACAACTTCCGTCGATTATTTACAGAAATATTCAAACTTTCAACAAAAAAACAATTTTTTTTTCTAATTTGCTAAATATTTTAACTGAAAAAATTGAATTAAACAATTCTTGATGAAAAAAAATGAATGATACAAACAATGTGAAAACAATTTCTACCACTGCAACAATCATAATTCCCCCAACAAAAATCGATAACCCAGTGATCTTGTTTTGCATGATGAACCTACTTCATAGATCAACGGGACGCGTTTCAATTGACGTTGAAATGCAGGACCGCCCCATGCAATTGTGGTAATCGTTTTTAGCTTGTGGTTGACGTACGTGGTAATGTCCCTGTATTCCCAGTTTAGCTAGATTTCCCATTTCTTTCTTTTTTTTTTTGTATATACTACTCGGTGATATGTAATATTTGTAAGTACAATGAATAAATTGAGAGTGTAACTTATGAGTATACCAATGAAAAGAATTTTAATTATTACTAACAGTCGGTGCTAATTAGCACTTTAATTTGAATATGGCTGAGGTAAATGAGAATGTTATCATTGTACACTATTGCTTCTGAATGTGTGATTTATTGAATTGATTGTTTTTGCACTAATTTCTATCACTGAATCTTTGAAATTAAATATGGTAGTTTTGTTGCATTATTATTTAATGGAGTTTATATTTATTTGTTTTGTAATAATAAATTGAGCGATTTTATGGTGTTGTCTGACTAAATTAGATGTATTCTATTTTATCTTGAATTTAAGAATATTTTTGATTTTTTTTTCTAAACGTTTAGTGCTCTGTGAAGTGTGAAAAACTTTTTTTTTTTTTAAGCTCTCCTTCACATTTGTAAAGTTTGTTGGTTAATACGTTTCACATGTTTTACCTACTTAGCACACTGATTTAAAAAAAAATAAAAACGCATACGTCACGTTCGTTTCGTACGGATTAGATTTATGTTTCCAAAACTTTTATAATTTTCTTCAAGGATGTCACGTAATATTGTTCGTAAATCGGATTATGGTGCTCCACCGGCTAGAATGTCAGCTGGAGCTCCTCCTAGCCTTCCAGTGCGGCGCGCTTCCAAAGGTTTCTCTGTAATTGTTGTCATAACAGGATCCACCAGATTTTAGTATTAATAGCCTGTAGGCATATTACTGGATTCAATACTAGTTTTACTTTCGTAGGATCCAAATCAATTACCATGACTTTTGTAAAAGATACAAATTTATTTCCTATTCCTTAGATTATTATTTTTTCATTTCCAGGTGGTTTCAGAAATGTTACTAGTACAATTAGTCGTAAGCGACGATCGGAAGGTAATCTGGAAACGGAGGATTCGGATTCGGAACAAGCATCCACAGCCGATGACCAGGAAGAGAATGGAAGTGGTGATGATATAAAAAAGGAAGAAGAGCAAGAGGAGAAAATCAAGAAGACGCCCCGTAAAAAACGTCGATTTAGGTACATTTTTTTTCCATTTGGATAGTATATTTATTTATTTATTTATTTTTAAATATTACTTTGAAAAGTAATAAGTTGCAAGTTCTTGTAGATTAACTATTGTCTTCACTTGTAATCATATTAATCATTATTACCAGTAACACTTCACTACTGTAATTATAGGTTAACGGATTCAATAGCAAAAAGCAAAAGACGTGCTGAACGAAGGGCACAATTAGCAGCCGAACGTAAAGAGCGTGAAGAATCCAAACAGCAGCAGGAGGTAACTTTTTTATGACATAATATATTTCATTCAACTTCCACAGCAATAAAAAAAGCTGAAAAAGGGAGGTGGGGCACAACAACAATATTTAGACAATATTTAGAAGCAGAATTATAAGATAAATTCGACTTGAAACTTCGAATCTATTACCAGCTTTATTTATAGTTTACCGCTAATTAAAATTTCCAAAAATTTATAATTTATCTTAAAAATTCATGGTTTTAGGACGAAGTTAATGATGAAGTGAAGGAACATTCATTGACACCGCCACCGCTTCCCAAAGCATCAACTGTTCTTACGTATTCACCCATGCAGCTTTTTTGCGACAGTTTGTTACGTAAGATGAAAGCCAAAGATCCCGATGAATATTTTGCATTCCCAGTGACACAGCAAGTTTTGAATTAAATAATATTTTCTTTTAATATAAAATTACTCTCAAGATGTCGAAATGATTTTATTCTATAAGGACTTAAATGTTTCCGTAGTAAAACTTTTTTTGACTGCCGCTTGTGCAGTTTTTTCAAAAGTTTAGAAATACTGCTACAAGTTGAAAAACAATTTTTCCATACAGTAATTTTAGCCTATTTGAGATAAATTTATTTATAATTTCGTATTAGAAGGCAAGCGCTTAAATTCAGGTCGATGGCACCAGATTATCATGAAATAATCAAGGAACCGATGGATTTTGCCACAATTCGACAGAAAATCGATCGGGATGATTATCCAGATATTGCGACTTTTAAGAAGGATGCCGAATTAATTGTTCATAATGCAATGGATTATAATTCACCTGGGACTGTGTATTACATAGCAGCTCAAAAGATGGATCTAATTGTACAGTTTTATTTCTCAGAACCATATTTGCGCTATCTTTTTCATACCCTTCCGTTCAGCAAGGTAAATTTTTATATTTTTCGGTTATATTATTTTATTACTTTAAATACTCAGGCAGTTGAGCAGAAACTGTCTCACCTTGTTATTACAATATTTTCTATGGAATTTGAGTTATCAGTAACGATTGATTCGGATGCTGTATATTCTTATATTATCTCCGTATTGTTCGTGGCAGTATTTAAAGAAAAAAAAATTCCGTTGTTAGCTATTCATTAGTGAAAGTATTTTAAAACGAAGATAAGTGTTTGGAATTTTAGATAAGTTTTTGAAAATTGGCAATGTAAAATGCATATTGATGGAAGTAGATACGGAAAAATTAGAAGTATTAAAAGCCATAGGAAATGCGTGTCTCATTAATTAGAAATTTTTTGGTTTTAGGATAGAATATTTCATTATGATTGTCCTATGGTTTTTGTATTTTGCGTTCATTCAGTTTTTAAATTTTTACCTTTACTATATATAAGCTGTTCAATAATGGTACTTCAATGTCAAACCTTTATTTCTAGGAGATACCGCTGGAAAAGTTAGGTCTGACATTGAAAACCAAAGCGCGACCACTACCAAAAGCGGATTATAAAACGGCAGTTGTTGATGATGCAACACCGTCAACTGTTTTGGAAGCAGTAGATCCATCTTTGAAACAAAAGTTATCCAGTCGTATTCCTGATCTTAGGATTTTTCCTACTGGTGATCAGGAGGACGGCGTAGAACCAAAAAGTCACCTTGCATTTTTGGATAACAAAGATGGCGCTATTTGTTTGAATGTTATCAATCCGAGTTCATCGGAGAAAAAAATTATCACTCTTGGAGATATTGTGGGTAAGCTAGAGGAAGGCACACCAGGACTTTGTGCTCCTCAAGAACACAAGTCAAACCATCAGGTTAGTCGCCTCATATTTCAAATATTAACATAATTCAGGATCTTTGTTACGACTGTTGTGACAAGGATAATGATTGTATCATTCCCGTTTGTTCATCCTTTGCATCTACAGTGCATAATTTCATTTTCGTTTCTACTGAATACTGAGATATCAAAATTTATATTATTAGATTCTCGTATCAATACTTCAGAGTTTGATTTGAATACTTTTCATCGAGATGAACTGCTGAGAATGGATAATTAGATTAGGACTGGAAAAAATCAAGCTAGAGAAAAAATTAAGTTAGAGCAACTGATTGATTCTGTTGCTGCTGCAGTAAATTCACCTTTAGAACCATGATTTTATTTTATTCAATTTTTATGCCTTATTTTGCTTTCAACTTTCCCATTCATCATTCTAAAAATTTGTTTTTTATCAGTCATTTTATTACGTAGCATAAGCTCCTAATTAAGCTTCAACTATGAAAAATGTTTTCAGGTTCCGATTTCCTATGTTTCATATGGACCATTCAGTTCTTTTGCACCTCAGTTTGATTCTACGTGGGCAACACTTTGCGAACGAGATTCGCGTTTACTGTTGGGCACCTACGGAGATAGGTCAGCTTCTAATAAAGTTTAAAAATTTGGTGGAATAATTATGATTGCAGAGTTTTTTTTTTGTATTTAATAAATATTAGATGTGAAGAATTTATATTTTGTTTTTGTCATAAATATTTAAGTGTTGGAATAATGGTATGTTATTTATGTTTGCTTTTGATTTCACGTTTAGAGAGATTAGGATCATAACCTTTTTGAATAAATGCAAAAATTAGTAGTACTATCGATAGTTATATAAGTAATTTCAAAGTGAATTGTAGCAAACAAGTTGTATGAAATAATTTCAAGGTAAATTTTAGCAAACAACTTTTAGAACTAATGTAACAAATGCCATATCCTTACGAGAAATGGTTGATAATTGCGGCGAGTATATGATCAAAGTTGTCGATGATTTGCTAGA